AAATAATTAATTTATCACAACTGCCCCAATAAATTAACAATGACATAAAATTAATATTCAACAGGACTGAAATCAACTTATTAGTTTCGCGTGTGGCTCTTTGGGAAAGTTGTGTTAGTGGATAGTAAATGAGTGTATCTTATAATATTTGCATCTGTTTATAATCATTATAATAATTAAACATGCTATTGCATTAGATATTAAACCTAACGCTGTTAACGTTATTTAAACACGTGGTCCATTGCTAAGCCATTCTCTGATAAGGTCTCAGCCGTTTAGGAATCAATAACAGTGTCATGTGCCTTTAAGACGCCAGTCAGGGTGGACCCAACGTCGGCGTTAGACGCTCAGGAAGTGGATTAAACCACCAAAGATTCCCGCAGATTCGATACCGATTGTCCCAATGTTAGATACGTGTTCGTGCTAACCTGAACGTTTGGCCGAGCACGTTTATGGGCTATTTAGGACGATAATGCTGGATGGTTGCGCTCATGAAAATCACCAGGGATATATGCAGGCTGTTGGGACTCGGGAGCGGTAAGAATTCTCTTCCACTTTTCGAAACTTTCTAAACTGGTTAGATCGATCACGGACGTAATAACGAAACGCGTGTGACACGGCACATTTGGAGGACAGCTAACTCGTGAGTTACATAAACGACGTGATTGTGATATTGCTTCCCATTTGTGTTATCCTAGTGATCAAACTGAGCTCTTGGTCAAACAATGAAACTTCTCTTGGCAGTTACACCCTCGCCTGTACCGCTTCCAAGTTTGCGCAGTAAAAAAAAAAAAGGAAAGAGTTCTCAGAAAATCCAAAACGCTCTCTTACACTTTCTCGCTCACGAAGCAAATAGTTATAAAGTTTACAAGCTGAAGTACACCATGTATAAAAGATAGAGATAAAGTAATGTGTGCTATAAAAAAGCAAAACAAAGATAAATGCATTCTTCGGTGCGTGTTAGTGTGATAACAATGTCTTAGATAGGGGCACATGCCCCACAGCACAGAACGAGTTTATACGCAGATTGAAAGTATTGTATGAGCTTAAAACATGTCTTTAAATAACGTGTTATGTTCCCACATGTTCCTCTTCTTCGCTTAACATGTTAACAGGTTGGCTTATGTGTGGCTCCTCTCTACAGCTGCTGATCTACACACCTTCATCGACATTTAAAAACTTTTAAGCATGCCTTGCCAACTTTAGCATTACTTAGTATTTGAGTACACATCTGGTGTGAGTAATCCTATTAGCATTTATGGAAAGCGTGGGAATATTAGATGAGAAATACACACAAACAAAATGGGATGAATAAAGTATGTGTTGTAGCAGGCAGCAGTTTCAAATTATGTTTATTTCTTAATATATGAATGTGGGAATTCCCGAGTTTATCATCCAAAAGTAGGGGAATATCTATTTGCAAAAGAGACTGGTTTGCATTCCTTCATTCTTAGATCCAGATCCATACACCTCTGTGAAGGTGTAATAAAGAGCTTAGATACTACAGAACAGTGAAAGATTTCTAGCATTTTTTTTAACAGCGTCAGTTAGTAATCTCACTGATGAAGCAGTTCAGTTAAAGTGCTATAGATTTGGTTTCCTGCCACTCCAACCATTACTGGCTTTGCAGTGGTAGTGTGAGAGTCTGTAGGTGGTGCATATGCTTAATTCTCGTAACTGTTCCCAGAGTGAAGGTGTGGATAAAAAGCCATACCTGGAGAGGTGAACGAGGGTCATTGTGGTTATAGACTGCTGCCTCAATTTTTCTTTTAGCTGTAATAGTGATTCTGTATTGTTCAGCGCTCTCTGTTAGCATTTTAGAGGAGGTGGCACTCTCCACCTTTTACTTTTTATCTTTTTTGCTAACACTTTTTTTGTGTGCTCACATAACTTTTATGCCAGTACACAGTAGGGTTATGTTGAACCTGCTAATGCAAAGAAAGCTTTGCTGTGTCAAACTGGCTTTGTAGTGTACCTCCCCTGAGATCTTTAATGATTTTTCTTCTGTTGATTTCTGATGTAATGCAGTTGTTTTCACTCAGTCTCACGCAGAACATTTGTGCCTCGCAGCCATGTACTCTGCAAAAAACAAAACGTGTGATTGTTTCTATTTCCTACATTGTTTACATGTTTCTGTGTTTAACTGGTTTACACAACCACTTAAAACCACTGGCATATGATTAAGCAGTGCCTGTTTGAATAATAAGGTCATGCTTTCGTGAAGAAAAGTGTGGACCTGTGCAGTTTATTTTCTTGTTAGTCCTCCAGCCTGTGATGGTACGTGATTATTTAGCATTCCTGTGGAAAGAGCTCACCTTTCAGCTGTACACTAATTTAGGAAATTTCCTTGAAGTGAAGAAACAGAGCCTCTCTTGTTGCTCGTGTCTACCGATCTTGTATCACTTATGTTTTTGGAGGACATTCCAGTATGGTAAAATTTTTTACCAACGGCCTGGTTCAAATGAGATGGAGTTGTTAACAGTGCTTATTTCTTGACATTTGAGCAGTGAGTCAGGCGCACACAACTGAAATTCCTTGCTGTCACTATGCATCCTTGGAGGCGCATTGTGATGACAGACTGGCTCTTTAACAAAGCCAGTGAGAGA